TTGAAACGGCCTTAAAGCCAGAGAGTCCTGCTAAACAGATTTTTGGATTTCCAGCCTGTATGTCACCTGTTTCTTTATGATCTCTTATCAACAATATCTAAAAATCTATCTCTGGGTCACCGCACACTCTACGGATCTACCTTGCTCGCCTGGGAGAATATTTCAACAAGAAGCCGAACAAATGGGGCGGAGCGGGGGAGGCTTGTCGGTACAACTATGCGTTTAACCCAATCGACTCGTTTCCCCCAAAGTTAATTCAAGCTACACGGTACACAGCGTGCACAATAAACTATCGTTTTATTTTGATTATAAATAAGATTACTGTACTTTCCTTAAAATACAATTACATAGGAAATCCTTGTAGAAATGGTGTTTTTACAAGTTAATAAAACTGAGCGCTCTTTACAAGGATTTGAAATGTCCCCCCCCTCCTTCCCTATCAGTATCTTCCTTCTTCGCGCCCCCCTCTCCCCGCATTAATAGCGTCCTACCTAAGTGCACTCTTTGGAGATTTGGTTTGGTGGGTCTCTAAATTATTTCCTGTAGGAACCAGGGCCACTTTTGGTTGTCTCCTCTCAGTGGCTCGCTCCTTACTTGCATAGGACTCGCTTCCGTCGAACTAGGGTTAAACCGAATCACTCCCATGCATGTATTTGCTAGAGTTTCCCCCAAATGCGGAGCTGGTGGTGCATCAATGGCGCTGGACCGGTATCCCAGACTTCGACGGGAAACGGGTTCTGGGCCTTCGGGGAAAGTATTGGCCTCTCGATTCCCATTTTTAAAAGGGGGATAGCAAAGGGCAATAACAAATATTCGTGATCTTGATAATTTATTAGAAGCTTCTTAGGAAGTATATTTAAAGCCCGATATAGCTACATAAGTTACAAGGAAAAAGAAAGCAAGGAAAACGTGCGCCAAGAAAGAACAAACTGTCAAAGGATTTTACATGGATCTGTGGACGTCCAATAAAAAGTGATAGATATTTTTTTGAAAAAAAGTTTAAAATTTGTTTGGTAGATCTTCGCTTGTAATTTTTGTAATCAACAAAATATTCAGGCTACTAAAAACTATGGGTTCAGTCCAACGTGTTTGACAGCATCAGACAGCTACAGGTTCACATCAAAGGTAAGAGGAGAAACGCTAAACCGAGACTCAGACCAGTGTCTCCATCCACCGGCTGGGCTGCCCCCCCCAGGTTCTTCCTGTGTGTATTTTGGGACGGGGGAGGAGGCTAAAGTTTTTTTTGAGGGGGAGGGGAGAAAAGGCCCACCCCCTCACCTTGCGGCTTGATATGTACATACAAGCGTCCCGTGGAGATCCGGGCCAGGCGCGGCTTCGTGGTCCTTGGCAGTCTCCCGTGTCACCCGCCTCTCCAGATGACGGGGAGGAGGCCTTCCGAGGAGCGCCATTTCACCCCCGAGGCTGGCGTCGTCTCTCTCTCTCCTCCCCTCCCCCCGTCTGTCCCAAGCACAACTCCCTCCCCTTCTCTGGTAAATGGAAAAGAGCAAGCCCCCCCCCAAAAAAAAGTCAAGGGAGGCCTAGGAGAAGCGGGAAAAGCTCAGCCAGTGGCCAGGGGCCAGGGGGCGGCCAGCGGAGGAGGAGGCCAGCCGCGGCCGGGCGCTCCTTCTCTGCTCACCAGGTCCTCCCGTATAGCAAGGTGGAGCAGGACATGGCCGTCCCATAGTCCGAGCCGGCGGAGTTCAGGTGGGACAGGGCGGACACCTGGCTCTGGAGGGCGGAGGGGCTGCTGGCGGCGTGCTGGCCCAGGTCCGGCGACTGGCCGGCGCTGCTGGCCTGGTGGCTCTGGTGCTGTCCCAGGCTGGGCCCGTTGGCGGCCACGGTGATGGCGGTGGCGGCCGCCTGCTGCTGGTGGTGGCCCTGGAGGCCGGCGGCGGCGGCGGGCGCGTTGGAGCCGGCCTGGCAGGGTTTGCCGTCCTTGACCAGCACCGGCACGGCCACCCGGCGCGGCGACTGCTGCTGCTGCTGCTGCTGCTGGCACGCGGCGCCCTCCTGCTGCATCTGCTGCTGGGCCGCCTTGTCCTTGGCCTGCCGCTTCATCTTGTAGCGGTGGTTCTGGAACCAGATCTTGACCTGGGTGGGCGTCAGGTGGATCATGCTGGCGAGGTGCTCCCGCTCGGGCGCCGACAGGTACTTCTGCTGCTTGAAGCGCCGCTCCAGCTCGTACACCTGGGCCTGCGAGAAGAGGACGCGGCGCTTCCGCCGAGGGGTGCTCTGCAGCGGGGCCATGCTCTTGCTCACGTCGCTCAGCGAGCTCAGGCTGCCCATGCCGCCCATGTTCATCCCCGACGACGGCCCCATGAAGCGGGAGACTGGAAGCAGAACAGCCAGAGAGGGTTAAGGCAGGCAGACGCGGGCCCACACGCCGGATCGAGGCCCAAGCCCTGGGGACTGAGTCCGGATTTCAGGATCCGAAGGGGGGAGGGGGGCGGAATCTAAACAGCCACACAGTCAAGTACTATCCGAATCAAAATCACAACAAACTTCCACGGACAAGTGTGCATTTTTCCTTGCTTTTTTAAAAAGGAAAAAAAAAACTTTAGAAAATGTTTTTCTAAATCAGATTGGGAAGGGCCCTTCTTCTGAGAAGTTTAGGTTTCTGAGCTTTGCAAGGATCGCTCTTGCACAGTTTTGCCTCTTACCCCCCACCCCCCACCCCGCGCCTGAAAATCGCCAGCAAAGCCCCGCTTGAGAAGTGTGTAAACAGACCCAAACGTTTTGAGGGCAGAAAAAAATCCCAGCCAAGGAAGCCATGCAGTTTTCTGTATAAGCACAATCCATTCTACATTTCTATGCGGTCACCCATTTTTCCTTCACATGAAAGCGCACAAACGGACCGAGCCCCGCTCAGGGCCACCGCCTCCACTTTGCATCCTCCAAACTGTCAAATCAGCAGTCCTTGGGGGGCCCCCTTCCCATCATTAACGAGTTATTTATTTCTAGTAGTGAATCACGAATTCTACTTTATGCGGCACAGAGGCCGGTTTCATCTACTTGCATGTTCAAAGACTGCAGATCGACTTGGGGACCCAATATACCCTGCCACAGCTCTGAACCACTCGGACGGCGTTGCTTTAACCGACACCCTGAAGTTTCTGGGAGAAATTTCCCGGACGTCCAGACCTTTCAGATGTTTTTATTCCTCTCAGCCCGTCCCTCCGAGTGCGTCTTATCCCATATTTCGGACTCCCGTCCATCTGCCGGGGCTTTAACCACCCCGATTTGCCCCAGAAAGCCCTTCGGCTCCCTTCCGCCCCGAAGCCATTCACTCCCCGTTCAATCGCCAGGGCCGTCCAGTCCCCGGTGCAGGCAAAGCCCAGCAGAAAGCACAAAACCGCGGCGGCTTGGGGGGGGGGAGGGGGGGGTGTTGTTCGACGCCAGGCAGGCGGCTGGGAAGGTGACCCGTCTGCCACCCCCATGGTGGATATCCACCCCCCACAGACACACTTCACCTCATCCCACCTCGCCCTTCCCCGCTCTAGCCGCTACCCCGGCGCTGTTCCGCCTGGCCAGCTGTGCGCCGGTGCCCCCCCCCCCAAGCCCGGAGAGGCGAAGAAAGGCTTGGCGGACTTACTTGTGGAGAAGCGGGGGTCCGGGTTGGGCCCATACCATCCGGTGGCCGAAGCGCTGTTCCTCATGGTGTCCTGGTAGGGCGGCAGGTCGCCCATGTTGCCATTGCAGTAGCCCCCCATGGCGGTGTGGGAGAGCTGGGGGACGCCGGCGGCTGTCATGTGGTAGGCGGCGGTGACCGTCCCGTTGTGGCCCATGGGGTGCTGCTGCATGGCCGGCTGCGCCACTTGCGTTTGCCTGTAGGCTGCCAGAGGAGCCCCCAAGTTACTGCCCTCCATGCTCACTTTCTTGTAGCTTTCCTCCAAGGGGCTCAAGATGTCAGACACTGAGAAAGGAGTCGTATGCTTTGGGCTCATCGACATGATTCGGCGGCTGGGGGGAGAGGAGGGAAAAAAAGGGAAAGGGGAGGCAAATCTCTCTCTCTCTCTCTCTCTCTCTCTCTCTCCCCTCTTTTTTTTTTTTGCCAAATATTCTGGTGTGTTGCCTTCACGCCGATCTTGTTGGATGAACACGTAACGGAGTGGACCAAGTCCGCCTTAATTGGATTGAGTGGAGGCTCAGCGCTGCCTTTCGTTTGTTTTAGCCAGACGCCAGGTTTTAGGCAGCCACCAGAGGCGGGGCGTAGAGTCTAAAGCAACAAGACAATAGAACCCCACATCTTGCCCGAGATAATTAGCGTACATGCTGATGACAAGGTAAACACCTTTAAGTTTTACTTCGCAGGATTTCTCTCCCCCCCCTTTAAAAATGTCTTTCTTTAAAATAATAACAACAATAAAGAAGAATCTCTGCCCTTACCCTCCCCGAAATCAATCCGGTTGTATTGGGGGGGGGGGGGGGGGGGGGGGGGGGGGGGGGGGGGGGGGGGGGGGGGGGGGGGGGGGGGGGGGGGGGGGGGGGGGGGGGGGGGGGGGGGGG